TAGTGATAATTTTATCACTTGTATTCAATAGGTCAAGTGGCTGCAAACATCAATGAAAAACTTTATCATTTCTATCATCAACTCTACTACCTTCTGTACTGGTTGCCAAGTTTCCTTCTGTTCTCTTCTTATCAGTATTAAATGGATCATTACCGCATACAGGTAAAACACATTCACTGTGTATATAACCTACTTTGACCAGTTCTAACGTAGTAACTAGTAGATCCACTGATAACTGACCAATGTTACCAACTGATACGGCCGGCTGAATAAACAAAACAAAATAAGCATAACATTAGTGAGTAATGGTTTTAAGGTTCAGAAGATTCGGCTCTGTGATTTTTATCGTTCTCCAATATAATTTCTTCATCACTGGTATGGTATTAGAATGCAAAGCACTTTATAAATATTTAATTTTGTAGATAGCAGCCCCCCTCCCCCCAATCTGCCAGATGAAGACTTGTTTCAATTGTGCACGACTATGAACAGATTTAATTTGGAATGTCGCCTTGTATAGCAGTGAAAATAAATGTTTTTATACACCTGCATACAGAGATCAAGGTCAGGGCTTGCTTTTGGCCAAATTGTTCAATACTTGATAAGACATACTACATCAACATACAACATGCATTCCAGAAAAAAAACGGAAAGTAGTCAAAATGATTGTTATAGTTTTTTTATTTACTTATTGACTCTTACACAATCCCTTGAGGGAAAGGAAATAGTAATTAAATAATTACAGCAATTCTGAGAATTAGTTGAACATTCAGTTTTCAAGATCTCTTGAAACTTTACAAAGCACTTATGTTATTGTTCAAACTAGAATTGACTTTAACAGGGGTCGCAATACTCTGGTGCACACTGCACTATGCACATGGATTATTAGCTAGTGCAAGTAAACTCAAAATATAATGTGCACGCTGTGCATGTAGAAACAACATTTTCTTATTTCGTTCACTAAGCCTAAATTAAATTCAACCAGAGGTACATTACTTGGGGTTTGCAACTTGCATAGTACTGTATGGTGACATCATGTCAAGATCCCATTCAAGTCTTTTTTCGTAGATAGCAAGACTGAGGCTACGACCTTCTGACATGACGCATATCAATGTTCAAGGTTTGTAATGAAAAAAATAAACTTTTCTTGTCACTATCATAGTGAAAAATGTAATACATCGAAAATGTACAGAAAATATAGTTCTCGTAATCCGTCATATCGTGGGCAGCTATTTTGATCCACCTGGACATCCCAGTATCCTAGTCACCTCGGGCATGCGCATTTTTTCTGAGTTGGAACGCTAATGCGAGAGCGAGGTTGTGACGGGATCTTGGTATCATGGTATCATGTCACCGTAGTTACAAACCCCAAGTAATGTACCTCTGGTTCAACCAACATTAAGACAACTTTTTTCATGATCTCATGAATCGATAACCCGTAAATTTTATTAAAACTTTAAAATTGGTGCATTTCACAACAAGTTAGTGCAGGTAAATTTCAAATTCAACATGCACACTGTGCATGCAGGGAAAAAATTCTATTTCAATCCCTCACTACCCCATGAATTGACGGTGCCCTGATATTGCCACGCACAATTTATCCAATTCATTTTAATATCATGAAAACTGAATCCATATGCATGTAATTAGTTAAATGACGCTGTCAAGTCTATAGAACCATACCACTAATAATTTATTAATTAATTAGTGGTCTGAGATAGAACATAGCAAACGAAACAAGAGTCCGAATAATTCTCAGAACCGTTATAATGTAGCATTTGGTGTGCATAATGTAATCCTTCGTGCACAGAAACAGGTATGCCCCATTTTTCAAAATTGAAATAAGATCGATAACAACACAGGGACTGAGCTAGCAAGTAATTCATCGTATTTTCGATTAGCGCCCAACCTGGGAATACTGTAATAAAAGCCTGTGAATTAATTTGTGAAGAACACTGTCCATTTTTTTTCAGTCCGTGGGGAACAGGGATTGTATGGAGATTGTGTAATAGTTTTTCTGTATTGTCGCAGGTCTTGTGTATGTGTATGTGTGTGTGCGAATAACCTGTTAACCCCCTTTTAACCAATATATATTTTGTGTTATCCTACCGACACCATAAAAAACCTTGTGAAAATAGAGGGCATTTTTGCCTGATACCTTAAAATACCATAGCCATTTTTGCACATTGTCTCTTTTGGTTTTACATCTCCTGAACTTTAGATTATGGAATATTCTTACAACTTCTTGTATGCATTATATCTATTATGATGTCCTTTATGTATTATACTACTTTTATGAAATACACGAAAGGTATTTTTCTAGTCATCACTAAAAAATCACACATGGTTTTTTTATGGATTGGGCCATATTGCTGTTGGTATGGATTTATGGTTTATTGGCGATCCGCTCCGCTAGGATTGCCCTTATAATCACTTTTGTCGTTTTGTGTGTGTGTGTGTCTGTGTGTGTACATTTCCAGTGTTCCAGTGTTCACGTAATATTTCTTCTGTGATTTTTTTGGCTTGGCCGATTTCGTTCAAACTTGGCAGGTAGGTCACACCTTAACCCTAGTTATAAGGAAAAATCTGGAAAAATTTTTTGGCCCACCGTTGCCATAGCAACAGCCAAAAAACTGATTTTTGGATAGCTTCGCTCCAAATGTATCTCCTCCTACAAATTTGGGATAAAATACTTCAAACATAGCTCATTCTACTCAGCTTGAGTGTGGGCACAAAGTTACCATTTGAATTTTTGATATCTGTTTTCATTACCGAGAAATTTGACCCCAAAGTTGGGG